CCCTGCTCCTCCTCCTCCTCCTCCTCCTTCCCCTCCTGCTCCTCCTCCTCCTCCTCCTCCTCCTCCTCCTCCTTCTCCGCCTCCACCACGTCCTCCTCCTACTACTAGTGTTCTTCCTGTCTGTTTGATGTTCTTCTGCATCCTGGGGAGGGTATCCTTGGGTGTTCTTGTGTGAATTGGCTGGCGGAGGGTCTCATGTTCTTTAAGGGTGTTCTCCTGTCCTATGTCCGACCGTGGCGGCATCGGCCCGAGCAACCGCAGGCTCAGAGGAGGAACGCGTGCCAGTGCCGGCGCCCCCTGTCTTCCCCTGAGATCGGGGCGCTGCAATGCTTCCCCATGCTGGGCGCGTTCGTCCCGTTCCAGGCCCTGGGGCCGTCATGCGTCGATACAGGTTGGGAAATGCCGCAGGAGGAGAGGGTCTAGAGTCTAGGGCGATCTTGATTTGTTCGCGCCTGCTGTCCTCGGAGATTCCTGTGGCGGCTTGTGGGTCGGTGGCGTGCCGTGAGAGGAGGCAGTTCTTCTCGGAGGGCGGCGGGGCTTGTCGGGAGCCCTTCGGCCTTCCGAGGAGGCTTCGGCGGCTGAGGAGAGGCATGGAGAGGCCCGGGAAGCCTGTCGGAAGACTGGAGATCTTCTGAGCCGCCTGGGAAGGCCCGCCCTCTCTGTCTTCCCCTCCCGGGCTCGCCGCCGCGTGGGGCTTCTCGTCGCCACGGCCGCGGGTGGCAGAGCCAGAAGTGGCAGGGGCCCACGGGCAGATTGTGAGCGGGCGTTCGCTAATCAGGCCAACACCCCTCCCTCGACTTCTCCCTCTCCTCCCCCTCCTGCACCACCTCCTCATCCTCCTCCTCATCCTCCTCCAGTCCTCATCCTTATAAAGAACTCTTCTTCCTCCTCCCTCCATCCCTCATCCCTCCTCCTCCTCCTCCTCCTCCTCCTCCTCCTCGTCTTCCTCCTCCTCCTCCTCCTCCTCCTCCTCCTCCTGCTCCTGCTCCTCATCCCAGTTGCACCCCCAGATGTGTCGGTAGGGCGGGCTTGGCGTTTCGCTGCCAGTTTTTCCCGCCTAGCTCCCTGGAGAGCAAAGAGGGTTTCAGATAAGGAGCTGGCAGGCGGGCTCTACGCCGGCTCCTCTCCAGGGCTCCCGGGCAGGCGTCCCCGGAGCAGGCTGCTTGTAGCTGCAGCGTGTCCCGAGAAGAGTTTTCCTGCTCGTTCCCAAAGCGCGTGCCTGAAGCCTTTCCGCAGCATTGCCAAAGCACCTTGGAAGGTCCTGCGAGGCTCCGCTCTGAAGCCTGCAAGCTCCCCAGGCATGATTTCCAGCGTCCTGGCCAGGCCTTTTTCCCGAGCTTGCAAACTCCCCAGGCATGGTTTCAAGCGTCCTACTTTCTTGTGTCCTTGCAAGCGTCTTCCGCGCGTTTTCAGCGCTTTCGACTCCGTCGCTATCCGGGTTTTGGATTGCACAAGTCACAAGTGAGCCTGAAGCCTGAAATCTGCAAAAGGTTCACGGATGGAGGGCGGGTTGTTTTCAAAATGTAGCTCTTGCCCCAGCACCGCTCACATCCGGCAATTTCTTCACGGATGGAGGGCGGGTCGTGTTCAAAATATGGTTCTCGCTTTAGCGCCGCGCACAGTTGCTTTAAAAGCTTGCAGCAGCTTCACGGATTGAGGACAGGTGGTTTTCAAATGTCGTTATTCTTTTTTGGTTCAGCAGTTTCAGTGATGGAGGGCGGTTCCTTTTTAAAAAATCACTCTCGCTTGAGCCCCGCGCACATTCATCTCCAAAGTTTGCAGCAGCTTCAAGGATGGAGGGCGGTGGCTCTCGCCTTAGCGCCGCCCAGACGCAATAGTCACGCTGATTTGCGGTGTTCAAGTCCCAGGAATTGAGTTCTGGTGCGTTTAGGATTGGCAGGCCGCAACACAGTCACGTTGATCCGCGGCGTTGAAGTCTCAGGAATGGTGTTTCGGCACGATTGAGGCTTCTCAGAATGTTGTCTTCCAATGGGCCACTTCCCACAATAATCTCTTATCCTTGTATGGACCTATGAAGGGGAAGCTAGGAGGGAGGGTTCATTGCAACAGCGTTGATGCGTCTTGGGTCTACAGGTCTTCATTATCCTCCTCCAGGGGCACGCCGACCTCCTCCTCCTCCTCCTCCTCCTTCTCCTTCTCCTCATCTTCCTCCCTTGCATCATCCTCCTCCCTTGCCTCCTCCTGCTCCTCCTCCTGCTCCTCCTCCTCCTCCTCCCTTGCATTGTTATCCTCCCTTGCATCCTCCTCCTCCTTCCTTGCCTCCTTCTCCCTCCTACTTTCTCTGCCCCCTCTGGGCTGCCGGGCCCCTGGGCGCGCACAGCGGGAGAGAGCCCCGGGGAGAAGCGGCGCTGGTGCTGCTGCTCCTCCCCCACAGGGAGGCGTGGGGCGAGATCGTCCTGGACACCGAGATCTGGCTCGCGGAGACCGGAGGCCAAACGACGGCCCTGCGACCCGGGCGCCGCATATCGTGCTCCCCACCAGGCGTGTCCTCCCGGCTTCTCGGGCACCGGGGCCATCATGTAGCTCGATCTGGCTCGAGAAGCGCAGCAGAACGATGGGTATGGCTCTGGTCGTGATGTCCAGGGAGGAAGAACCTCGCAGGCCTAGAGGTTAGCATCAACACCAATATCGGCGGTGTGCCTCCACCGAGAGAAGAAGATCCCGACCTCGATGATGGTGGTAATATTCTGGCTTCCAAGGTGACCGAAATACTACCACCACACCGAAATCTAGGACCATCTTCCCCCTGTGGAGGCAAACCCTTGTGTTGGTGTTGGTGCCCATTTCCAGGCCTCCAAAAACCACCCCGACCCTGACAAGTGGCGTTTACTAAACGGGCCTAGGCGTTTGCTGAACAGCCCTGCCCTGTTCGATTCCTGCCTTGGGGGCGTTTGCTAAATGACTTCCCTTGTCGTGGTGCTTATTCTGGTGGTGGATTTTCTGCCCTCTAGATTTCTCGTGGTGGCGAATTGTTCCACAACGTCGGGTCTCAGAGGACGTGAACATGAACTTTCGGGGGCCTGCGCGGACGGTTGAGGGAAGAGATTAAGCAACGTTCCCCCCCTCTCCCGCACTTCCAAGTTGGCACGTTCCTTGAAGACCACTCGGAGACCCAACATCGGAAGATCCGAAACCAACACTGCATTTTGGGGGGAGGGTGGGGGGGAGTCCAGACCGTATGTTCTGCACGAGTGTTGCTTGATTCTTTCCGACACCTGGATGTTCCATCACGTATGCGGTCTCCAGGAGTCCCGACTCGTCCCCCGGAGCCGATTCTCACCCCGATGCGTCTTCTGACGGCCCCGAGGCCCAGCGAGGCCCCCATGGAGGCCGAGAGTGGCCACAAGAGCCTCCCGTCGTGGTAACTTTCACGGCGCGAGCACGTTGCGTTTTGTGGGGGGAGGGGGAGGCGGAATTCAAGCCACGTGTTCTGCATGAGTGCTGCTGAAATTGTTCCTGACACTTGGGATTAAGTCGGGCCTGTCCATCTACAAGGGGAATATTCAAAATTAGTTTTAAATTATCCCAGCAGAGCAACCTAACAGCGATGTGTAGGAGCATATTTGAAAGCATTCCCCTTAAGATTCAGATGAGAATCCAGTTGTAGAACTCTGCTGTTCTCGCAGTCGTAGTCGCATTCGCGATGACAGTCGCAGTGGCAACGCCAGTCGCAGTCACAGCCTCAGCCTCAGCCTGCCTCAGCCTCAGCCTCAGCATGCCTCAGCCTCAGCCTGCCTCAGCCTCAGCCTCAGCCTCAGCCTGCTTCAGCCTCAGTCTGCCTCAGCCTCAGCCTGCCAGCCTCAGCCTCATCAGCCTGCCTCAGCATCAGCCTGCCTCAGCCTCAGCCTCAGCCTGCCTCAGCCTCAGCCTCAGTCTGCTTCAGCCTCAGCCTCAGTCTGCCTTCAGCCTCGGCCTCAGCCTCAGCCTGCCTCAGCCTCAGCCTGCATCAGCCTCAGCCTCAGCCTCAGCCTGCCTCAGCCTCAGCCTGCCTCAGCCTCAGCCTCAGCCTGCCTCAGCCTCAGCCTCAGCCTGCTTCAGCCTCAGCCTCAGTCTGCCTTCAGCCTCGGCCTCAGCCTCAGCCTGCCTCAGCCTCAGCCCGCCTGCCAGCCTCAGCTCAGCCTCAGCCTCAGCCTCAGCCTCAGCCTCAGCATCAGCCTTCAAGCCTCGGCCCCAGCCTCAGCCTGCCTCAGCCTCAGGCATCAGCCTCAGCCTCAGCCTCAGCCTGCCTCAGCATCAGCCTGCCTCAGCCTCAGCCTCAGCCTGCCTCAGCCTCAGCCTCAGCCTGCTTCAGCCTCAAGTCTGCCTTCAGCCTCGGCCTCAGCCTCAGCTGCCTCAGCCTCAGCCTGCATCAGCCTCAGCCTCAGCCTCAGCCTGCCTCAGCAGCTCTGCCTGCCTCAGCCTCAGCCTCAGCCTGCCTCAGCCTCAGCCTCAGCCTCAGCCTGCTTCAGCCTCAGCCTCAGTCTGCCTTTCAGCCTCGGCCTCAGCATCAGCCTGCCTCAGCCTCAGCCTGCAGTCAGCCTGCTCAGCCTCAGCCTCAGCCTCAGTCTGCCTCAGCCTCGGCCTCATCAGCCTCCTCAGCCTCAGCCTCAGCCTCAGCCTCAGCATCAGCCTGCAGCCTCAGCCTGCCTCAGCCTCAGCCTGCCTCAGCCTCAGCCTCAGCCTGCCTCAGCCTCAGCCTCAGCCTCAGCCTCAGCCTGCTTCAGCCTCAGCCTCAGTCTGCCTTCAGCCTCGGCCTCAGCCTCAGCCTGCCTCAGCCTCAGCCTGCATCAGCCTCAGCCTCAGCCTCAGCCTGCCTCAGCATCAGCCTGCCTCAGCCTCAGCCTCAGCCTCAGCCTGCCTCAGCCTCAGCCTCAACCTGCTTCAGCCTCAGCCTCAGTCTGCCTTCAGCCTCGGCCTCAGCCTCAGCCTGCCTCAGCCTGCCTCAGCCTGCAGCCTCAGCCTCAGCAGCATCAGCCTGCCTCAGTATTCAAAATGTGGCCCGGGAATGGAGTTCTGGGAACTCGAAGAACACGAAGTGGCCTACAGTTGGCTCCAGGCATTCAAAATCATGCCCGGAATGGAGTTCTGGGAACTCGAAGAGCACGAAGTGGCCTACAGTTGGCTCCGGGCATTCAAAATGTGGCCCGGGAATGGAGTTCTGGGAACTCGAAGAGCACGAAGTGGCCTACAGTTGGCTCCGGGCATTCAGAATGTGGCCCGGGAATGGAGTTCTGGGACCTCGAAGACCACGAAGTGTGTAACTGTTTGCTTTAAACGACTTCCGCGACTTCCTGCCTGGACCCCCCTGGGGAGTCATGATGCTTTCGTTTGAGACCATTAGAAACCTATCAGTCTTCGCTGTTAGGTAAAAATAATCTCGGGGGGCGATGTTTCGACCATTTGTGACCATTTTGGGGCATCTTTTGACTATGTTTTTTCATTCGTCCAAGATCCCCCTGTAGGGGCACAGGCCCGCCTTGAACCTGGGATCTCGCACGTCGGCCCTGGGCCCTCCCCCAGCGCGGAGCCTCGGGCGCCGCCCACGGCGCCGCACTCCGCGCGACGCGCGGGAGGGGTGCGCCCGGAGGGTCGGAGACCCTCGGGAGGGAGGCTCGAGCCCCCCTGCCGATGGTCTTCCCGTGTGCTCCTCCGTGCTGGGAGCTTGTTGCCTCCGAGATGCGTCGATGTAGCGTCGAGTAGCGTCGCTTTAGCATCGATCAGCGTCGATTTAGTGTCGACTACTTGGCGTCGCTTCGCACGAGCCGACAGGATGGCTTGGGAGGCTCCCATGAGTTGCCGCCGAAGGCTCGGCACACAGAATGGAACGCTCGCGATCCTTTGGGATGTGTGGGGCGGGGCTCTGACCCCTGGCGATCGGCTGGGCTGGGTCTGCCTCCCTCGGGTTGACCCAAAAGGGGGTCCAGCGACAAGGGGGTAGTGCAATAGATTTTGTGCAACAGATCTGCGGGGTTGCAATGCATTTGGGGCGTGGAGTACATTTCGGGGTGCAAATGTACTGCTGCATTTTCGCGTGCAATGCATTTCTTGCAACACAACGCAATACAATTCTCCAGCGCAGTACATTTGCAATACAATTGCCCCAAATCTATGGTGCCTCCCGTTTCACCGCGCTCGGAATGCCGGATGCTTGCTCGTTGGCGCAGTCAGCAGTGGACATTGCTGCATACAGTCGGCCCGCATAGTAAGGATGGCAACCTTCCCAAGGGTACCCTTGCATCCTTGCCTCCTCGGCCCATCCTTCACCACTTTCATTGGCCGCGACCCGCTCGAAAGCTTCGAAATGGGCGTCCAAGGCCCTTGCTCCGAGGCAGGAATTTATGCATGACCACCGCCTGGAGGGTCAGCTTTCAGAGCCTCGGCAGGCGGTGGATATGACATATTCGGCCCCCTGGGGGCCGAAATGTATCCATATCCGCCGCCCGCTAGGGCACACCAGGACGTCGGTTCCCAGGCGGTGGATATGGGTGAATCCCCGCCTCGCATTTGCGTCCTTATCGCCCATCCTCACGAAAATCTACTGGTTGACCGGTAGCTGGCCGGCTGAGTGCCTGAACAGTGCGCGGACCTCCGAGAAGTCTTGCTTTTGTTGCGGCAGGGTCGCGCCGCGCCGGCGCGGCGATGCGAGGCGCGCGCAGGGTGTCCAAGGTTTTGTTTCGCCACGACAGGCCTCGCGCGCCTCGCATCGCCGCGCCAGCGCGGCGTGACCCTGCCGCAAAAGCATGAACTTCGCGGAGGTCCGCGCGCGCTGCTCAGGCACTCAGCCGGCCAGCTACAGCCAACCCGTAGATTATCGTGAGGATGCGCGGTAAGGGTGCAACAGGCCTCGGAAAAAAAAAGCGAACACTCATGCCACATTTGTCTGTCAACGCCTCCTCCTCCCCCCAATGTTCAAAGTTGGCGGTCGGTCTGATGAGTTACACCTCGACCGCGGTCTCCCCCGCGCGTGCCAACTCTGAGTTTGGGGGGCAGGGGGGGTGTTTACTAATCGTTTCCCCCTACCGGATCTCCGATACCAGAAAACCGCCATCGTCCATGATTGAACGATCCACGATCGTTCAATCCTGCACGCTGCGTCAAGATCGTTCAAGCTTGAGAGATCTGCGATGCCGGAAGCACGCGAGGTCTTCGATTCTGTCCGATTCGTCCCCTCAGCTGTACTCCTCCTCCTCCTCCTCCAAAAAAGATTGAACGATCCAAGATGTGTCGGAATCCAACGCTCACGCCATCGCGGCGTGAACCTGCCCTGCAGTAGACACATCAAAATCAGAAGATGGCATGCCAGCAGGTGCCCCGAGGAAAAATCCCTGGTGCTCCGATGACTCCAGGAGCCCAGAGATGCCCTGAGGCACCTTAGGACCCTCAGCGATCGACGAAGAATGTTCCCCAAGATTTCTTGTAGTAAGTTGTCCTATCCTCCTCCTACTCCTCCTCCTCCTCCTCCTCCTCCTCCTCCTCCTCCTCCTCCTCCTCCTATGGCATGTGTCTACTGTATGTCATTTCTGTTGCCTCCCAGCCTTGGCTCTCCGCTTGGGTGCACGATTCGTCCTCCCTGGTCGACGCCAGCAGTTGGCAGTACATGCTAGTCTGGAATCCTGAATGTGAGGCCCGGTCCAGTTCGCATTTGTCTTCTTCTTCCTCCTCCTCTTCCGCTGCTCCTCCTCCTCCTCCTCCTCCTCTTCCTCCTTCTCCTCCTCCTCCTCCTCCTCCTTCCTCCGTCTCGACATTGCCCGTAAGCTAAGGGTCAGCGCGAATGATGTCAGGGCGGCGGCTGCCGCTTCAGTGGTATGTCATGGGATAGTTTTTGATCGGACTTCCCAGGAGATCGCCACAGCGGTGGCCCTGATGGGCCTGCTCACCAGCCTCTCGTCCGTCCTCCACCACTGCACCTGCTGCGGGCGGCGGAGGAGGCAGCGCCGAACGCGGTGGCCAACCAGCATGGCTCAATGGGCTCGCCTCGCTATCACGATGGACAACCTGACGTACTTCCTGTGGTTCTGGACCGCCTTCTTCTGGGTGGGCTTCAACTACTACACGGTGATCGGGCCGTGAGATCTGCGCGTTGCAGTTTTTTCACTGGGCGTGTTCGCCAGGTTGCGGGCCCTGGGACCGTCACAGATCGATCCAGCCCGAGAAATGCCTCAGAAAGATTGGGTCTTGGGCTCCGGTCGTGATTTTTCGCGATGTTGCATCTTTTTCGCTACGTCGGATCTCAGGGAAGGAAGGATAAACGACACGACCACTTCAGCGAGGAGATCCACGATGCCCCCCCGTCTCGAGCGGCGGGACGCCGCAGAGCCAGGGGAGCGCACCTCACCAGGAGGTTCTTCCCTGGCTTCTCGCGATGGTGTTGGTGGTGGTGATTTTCTTTGCCCCGCAGGTGTTCGCCCCGAAGAGCTACCACTTCGAGGCCAGGGGCATGGTCGTCTTCTCCTGGGTCCTGCAGGTGCTGAGCTGGTCACTGGTGATCACGGCAACCAGCCGGTACAGGATGGACCAGGGCATGGCTGCCAACGAGGCCAGGGGGGGGGGGGCGTGAGCGAACGCAGCGGGGCAGAGACTTCCCGAGAGGATCGGAGGCCTCCGAGTCGGGGTCCGACCACGCATGCTGGAGGACAGAGCTCCTGCAGGCCAGAGGGAGAACGCGTCGAGGAACGGGTGTCTGCCCTCCTCGGAGAGTTTCGGGCCGAGCAGGCAGGGAACGGCGAGAGCGGTCTGGCGGCAGGACTGCCCACCGACCCCTTTGGTTTCGGTTACTCACTGGGTTTCTTCATAGTTGTGTGGGGGGTACCCCCCCCGACGGGGTGTCCACCTCGCCTCGTCGTCGCGCTGCGACGGGGGTCGGAGCGCCGTCGGCGCTCGGTGGCTGCCCGCGACCGGGGTCCATGTGGGGCTGTCGGCGGGGGTGACGCCCTCCCGACGCTCATTACGAAACTCGGGGTACCTTGTTGATGTTGTTAAACATTCCGCGACGTGGTAGATCAGAATTCCACAGCGCTTTTCACACAAAGTATGGCAGAAGCAGCGACGGGAAAGTAGGGCGGAAGTCGACGTCAAAGGAGCTTGAAAAGTAGGGCGGACATTTCCGCCCTACTGTCGAGATCGCTTAAAGTAGGGCGGACCTGGAGTCGGGTGACCCGTCGCCAGCGGTGCCTTCCCAACGTGCTCGCGCCGTGAAACACCACGACGGGAGGCTTTTGGCCACTTTCGGCCTCTGGGGGTCTCGCTGGGCCTCGGGGCCGTCAGAACACGCCTCGGGGTGAAAGCCGGCTCCGGGGGAAGAGTCGGGATTCCGGGACACCGCACGTGTCATGGGTTACAGTGGAGACCATTGCCAAGAAACACCCTGCTTGCCTCCAGGGGGGCCGATGGTTTTGCTATGGAAGGCGTGACGTTCCCACACCAAAAATCAATCGACGCCCTGGGGTCTCATGGTTGGGTTTCTTGTGGAAGCCTTTTGGTGGTCGGGCACCTACTGTATGCAATGAAGCAGGATCGAGACATCGCATGCCTGCGTCAGGTGTGGTGGGTTCGTGTCGTGTCGACTGGCGGTGGCCCCGCCAGCGGCGTTCAACGTGGAACGCCGCGGGCGACCCAGAATCGTTCGATGTGGAACGACTCGGATGTTTCGGACACGGCCGCCCCTTCAGAGGTCGAGCGAGCCCCGCGTGTCAGAACCCAACGCCGAAGTCGGCACCACACGAGCCTGCCGTGCGGGACCGCGGGGGTCTCCCCGGCACCGGCTGGCCCTGCGCGCCTGGAGTTGCCCAGCCGCGGCGACTCCCAGGAGCCGCCACGGAGGACCCCTCCTCGCCCAGGGGCACTCTACGGCTCGACGACGACGACGACGACGACGACGACGACGACGACGACGACGGCGACGGCGACAACGACCACGACGACGACGACGACGACGACGACGACGACGGCGACGGCGACCACGACCACGACCACGACCACGACGACGACGACGACGACGACGACGACGACGACGACGACGACGGCCAGAACGACGACGACGACGACGACGACGACGACGACGCGCGCAGCCGAGCATCCGGACTGTACAGTCGGGGCGCTGAAGAAGGAACCCTTTTCTTTTGGGAGGGGCTCAGCGTTCCTTCATTGTTTTGCAGTTCGCCTGAGGTTATTCCTAGGTTTTCGATGGGAAGTCGAAGTTTAACGTTTGGAAAGAAAGGGCCTTATTTCTTATCTAGGAATCCTCAGGTCAACGCCCCGACTGCAACGCAGGAAAGAGGGCGAGAAAGAGATGCGCAGAGGGGGAGCCCGCCGCGCAGCAGCGCCTGGCTGGGCGCTGCTTACACGGTCGGGAACTCTTGGACGGCGTGCCGCTTTCCGCCCGTTCTGGGCCCACTGCGTCTCGGCGCGAGGCGGCGCAGACGTCGGAAACGGCGCCGCACTCGTACAGAAGAGAAGTCGAGGCATCGCGCTCGCGCCGTGGAAGTTACCACGACGGGAGGCTTCTGGCCACCTTCGGCCTCTGGGGGCCTCGCCGTGCCTCGGGGCCGTCAGGAAACGCCTCGGGGTGAAACACCGGCTCCGGGAGAAGAGTCGGGATGCCCGGAGGCCGCACGTGCAACGGAACAGAGCACCGAGGCATCCAGGTGTCGCAAACAACTAAGCAACAATCATGCAGAACATATGGTTTGAATCCTCCCCCCTCCCCCCAAATGCAATGCTGGTTTCGGATCTTCCGATGTTGGGCCTCCGAGTGGTCTTCAGGGGACGTGCCAGCTTTGAATTGTGGGGGAGGGGGGGATGTTGCTGAATCTTTCCCCTCAACCGTATCCACTCCCCCTTCCCGAGCGTCAAAGCTCCAAGCCTTCCCCATCCCCCCCGTCCCGCAGAGCCGAGCGACACGCGGTCCGGTTGTAAGGCACAGGGCGTGTCTCTCGGGCCGCCGCGGGAGCACGACCGTAGTACGTTGGGTTCCCGGCCTGCTCGTTGGCGCCGTCGTCGCCGCCGTCGTCGCCGCCGTCGTCGTCGTCGTCGTCGTCGTCGTCGTCGTCGTCGTTACTTAGATTATGGGGGCGGCAAAGAGGGGGGTGATGACTAGCGTGGGGTGGATATCATGGCGGGGGCCATGATATCTCCGCAGATCTCGTGCCGCCTCTTCTTGTTCCAATGCGTTCCCTGGCCCCCCCCCCTGCCCGCGCACTTGGCGCCATATGCCGCCGGCCATGATTTGCCCCCCCCCCCCCCCCTTTTGGACGCCCCCTTCGTGGCCGCCCCCGAATTGAAATTCGTTGGCCGTCGTCTCCAAAGTCTTTCCCAGCTGCAACGCGCTTCTGTCAAACCACCACCACCCCGCGCGCGTGCTTCTCTTCTCGGTCGCCGTCCTGCAGCCTGCCTCTGTGCCTTTCCGGCGACCCTGCGAGGTGTTCTTCCTCAGCCTCACCAACATATGGCGGACCACCCAGGCCCTGGGCCGCGATCGCTCAAGACCGGCCCCTAGACCCGGACACCGCCCTGACAGCTGCTCTGGGCGGTGCGCAGAGGGGGCGGGGGAGGGGGGAGGGCTTCTTAGAAGCACCCCTGCTCCGTAGAAGGCGCGGGCCTTCTCTTTAGATGTAAGGTCGGCGCCTTCTAAGAAGCAGCCTCCTTCTAAGAAGCCCCCCCCCTGCCCCTTCCCCCATGTGCGCGCCGCCAATATCCGAGCCACCCGGGGGATGGTTTGGAGTCCCGAAAACAGTTCGGTGACAGACCGTGCGGTGACTTCGAAGTCCCCCAGGACCTCACCGCACGGTCCGTCAACGCACGGTCTTGGGACCTCGGATGCCCCAGTCGCCCGAAACGTTTTCGGAGAACGACCCGAGCCCCAAGACCGTGCGGTGACCCCGAATCCTTACCGACTCACCAGACGGTGTGGTTACCACCCCGTTTGGGGGCCCTCCAGATGGAAGACCGCCGTTGCGGAGGTCGAACTTCCAATTTGGACGAGCACATCCAGGGAGGAGGGAAACACGCATCCCAAGTTGAGGTCGAACCTTCATTCTGGAGGTTCCCGATCCTCTGGGTCGATCCCCAATCCTGGCCCAAAGCGTCCCCCAACAAAATCGCCCAACTCTTCGACCCCTCCTCCCAGCTCGCCGACATCACCGCGCCACAGACGGTCTACTCCAGCTAGGTGTTGCCGCCAAACCGTGCTCCTGGCCCAGGGTGTCCCCAGCGTTTCGCTTCTTGGAGCCCCTGGGGCTCCCTGGGCCTCGTGAGGGGTGCTCCGGAGGCCACCTGGGCCTTCCAGGACGTCCGGGAGACACCCTGGGCCAGGGACTCTTTTAGGTAATGCCCAGTGCAGCGTGATGGGCATGCAGCATGCAGCCTGTGTCGGCCCCACCGCCGGGCGATCTCCTCGATACACTGGCCGAGGCGCTGCATACAGCGAGTTCACTCATACATCCCTATCCTCCTTTGCTATCCTTCGAAGAAGAAAGCCTGCATGAGCATCAATCGGCTCTGGA